ACAGGTTTCATGCCACATGGAATCTCCCTATAGCAATGCCTCTGTCTTTTTGCTGGCAGAAGTCAAACGAGTTGAGATGTATGTTACCCACAGCTTCTGCCTGTGGAGGAATGAAAGGATAGGTCTGCTCTGGGAAGGTACTCGAGATGGAGATCAAAGGTGCCACAACATTCAATACAGCCTCACAGAAACAATCTCGGGATGGTCTTGGCTCCATAGCTGGGATGGGATAGCAGGGCTGTTTGGTCAGCACAGGAACTGTCACTAGCTGCAAAGGTGTTCGGTGTTGTGGCTGAACATGGCCTCTGGAAATGGCTCAAGAACAGGAGATTGGATTCTGGATAATAACTTATTTCATACATACTGGCAGGAAAGAGGATCATTTCCTGCTCTTCTGGGTTATAGGGATTCTTGAAGGGAAGTGCAGGTTTTCATGAGAAAACTGAATCCAGGTCTTAGATTGTCCTTTGCTTTACTGTTGCTTTACTATTGTTACTTGCTTTACTGCAATGTGCATGAATGGAACTCAGAGGAAGAAATGGTGTGCTAAAATCAAAGTCTTTCTGTCTCTGGTATTAAGATATACCATAAACTGTGTGAGGTTGACTGCATTTTCCTTTTCAAGTTCATATATTGAGGTGTCTTAACATGTATAAAGGGGAGCAATTTGACACCTGGAGAGGGAAGGGCCACCAGAGCCAGAAGGGCTCAGGAGCCTTTCCTGGGGTGAGCCATCCCAAGGCTCCCCCACCAACCAAAGGACAGCATGGTCTGATCCCAGGCATGGCCTCTGTGCTACAGAGAGACAAGCATAGGTGAGTTTCTGCTGCATTATGCATCACTTTTTTTTTTTTTTTACTTTTTTTTTTCCCCACATGAAAGAGCTATTTCTAATTCCTTTATATACCTGCACTGTTTTTTCCCTTTACCATTAAAATTCACTTAGAGATCTTCTAGACTGCATGATTATGCAAGATTAGGCTTCTAGCCTTTCAGTGGAAATAACAATTGAGTGGGTGGCTATAAATGCAGCTGCAGACAACAGTGAAAAGTATCTGAGGAACATGTTCTCTGGAGCACAAGAATTGTTATAGCTAGGTTGTGTGGCAGAAGTGGCTTGGGAACGCTGACTGTAGGCTGGCAAAGTGGGGACTGGAATTGAGGAAAAGAGGAAACTGAGCTTGACTGAGCACTGTGTCCTGTCTGAAATTGCAGTGCAAGTTGTTGCAGCGGCAAACAGCAATTGTCTGTGGGAGCTGGTTTTGTCTATCAAAGCATTCCCACTTCAGAGAGTCACTCAGCATCGCTGAATGCTCCTTCAGATGATGATCTAGAGCAAATAACTTGAGTAATGCCTGACTTACCAACCTGTCTATCACGTGCCATGTATTTCTTATCTTCTTGCATGCTGCACATCTCCTATTCTTTGAGAAGACGGAAAAGAGAAGCCCATGCATTTAGAGAGTTGGAGATAGAAAAGACATCTTCAGATGTTTTACCGAAGTGGTGATGACCAGGATCTCTCATGCCTTACATCGTGCAGTGTAGTGTGATCATAAAGCCTTTACCATGCAGCATGCAGGGCTGTGATTGACATGCTCCTATTTCAGTGCACTGATGGTACAGAGGAAAATATCTGCCAATTCTGAGCAGTGTAAGGTGCAAAACCAACAGATGAGTCAATCTAATTTAAATCTGCAGTGCACCCGTATGATAATAGCACATTATTATACCCTTTACATGATTATCTCTATGTAATATAGTTAGTCTTCATAACCTTTGGTACATCATGTTATTTATTCTTTCATCTAATGTATTTGGAGTAACTTGCTAGCAAGATGCAGCCCTATTTATCCTTTTAGGGACAACAATACCAGGAATAAATGTTAAACTAAAGGAAGCGATTTAAAAAAAAAAAAAAAAAAAAAAAGCAGCTCTATTTCTGCTATGCTGAAATGCATTTCTTGGCAGCCCTAGAGATTCAACAGTCTGGTATTTATCATGATGAAACCCAGAAATGTCTGATGATTACATGAGGACAATAAAGAGAGCACAAACTGCAGGCTGAGAGATAAGGGGTACGTTTTGATGGTAGGCAACTGCTACAGCAGTGGTATGTTGAGTCGGCTGCCGGGGGCAAGGATCAGCAGTGGTGATCAGCAGCTGTTGGAGGCCACAGTGCAGACACAGCTTCTGGGATTTCTCCCTCCTGAGGAGACGAAAGGTCAGTTGCAGCTGCTAATGGAAAATCTCCCTGTGAGCTGGACCTCCATTTGTCCTAAGGAGCTGCAGTATAATTTGTAAGCCTGCAGAGAGAAGCCTCAACCTTGCACAGATGTGTGTGCTCGTGCATAAAGAATTTGCACATGAAGTTGTTGTGACACTCAGTGCCTGGGCAATAGCTATGAACAGTGTCCTCAGAGGTCCAGGCTGAGGTGATGGTGATTCATTACTCTGTACAGAGGGAGAAAACTCCCCATCTTTGAGCAGCTGCATCTCAGTGACAGAAGTCCCTCGACTCCCTTTGCTTTGTGTTATTTTTACGAGCACAAAGTCGAAGAAACACACAATCCTTCTGTTTTGGCTTTAGTTAATCTTTTATACCACAGAATATTTGACACACGATTCAATGGAATGACAAATTGCACTCTAGAGCTGGCATTTCCTAAAGAAAACTCAATAAAAACATGCAGGCATGCTGCTCATAATATAGAACTTGTAGGCTCTCATAGGCAGCAGGATGAGTTTCTGCCTGGAAAATTTGTTAGGCGGTTGCTTCCCAAATCCTCTCTGGCCCAGATAAGACCACCAGCCTCTAGAATCAATGATCTGCTCTCGTAATTCACTGCACAACAGACCCTGTCGTTTCACAGGGCCAAGGGCATCAGAAGCAATTAAAGAAAAATGAGAATTGGTTTGAAGAATGTAATAATCATTCAACTAGCTGGGGAAAAAAAAAAAAAAAAAAGAAAAGAAAAAGGATTATATCCTTGATATACTAGAAAGAATAACATATGCTCTCTAATAAGCATTATGGCACCCACAGAAGTAAGCCTGAAACCACAAGGACTCGCACTTAAATGATTTGATTCTGAAGAACAAGAAAACAATATGTTGAAAATCAATCCAAGCAGCTAAAAGAAATGGGCAGGGGAGGGGTTTCTGTCTCCACTCTTGGCACAGGCTAAGAAACCAAGTGCCTCCCAGAACTTGTGCCTGTCTCTTCATAGCATTATGTTGCCTCCCAGCATATCGTAGAATCTCATAATGGCTTGTGTTGCAAGAAACCTTTAAGATCATCAAGATATCATGCCCAGCTAATTTTTCTAGTCACCTCTACAGCTACTTCTGGAAATACACAGTTGTTCTTTCTTCACAGCTCTCACATGCCCTGTCGTGTTGAACGGACATGCTCAATGCTGCCTTCCTGGCCAAACAGACGTGTCCTGTTGCAGTGGAGCACTGCATCTCCAGGTTGTTTTTTCCTACATATGGGGCTCTCCTGAGATGCCTGAGCTTGCAGCCTCCGGCTTCTCCTTGCTCTAACTGGGGATCAGCAGGACAGATAAACTGATTTTCTTGAAATGTTCAGAACAAGTAACACTTTTCTTTCATGTTCCTGATGTCCCTGCTACAGAACACTTACTTGAAACTCTGTCCACAACAGAGTAATTAAGCAGCTCTGCTAATGGGGTGTCGGAGGATGGGCCTGATAACTGCTCATCCAGGACTGTCTTCCCCAGTCCCAGGCCCTCCAACATGATTCTCCTGCAATTCTCTGAATTTCTTTCTGCATTAATTTCAGCTGGTCTTGGGATTATTTGTAAAATGGCCTTGGGGAACTTGTTCAAAGGCACTGCCGCCACAGACGACTTTGCATTTTAAACCAAAGCATTTCACTCCTATCTGTCTGGACACATGAGCTGCTCAGCACTGCTTCATTAGGCAAGTTATTTTTAAATTCTCAGAAAGAGCAAAACATTGAGAGAAGAATTATCATTTGCTGTTGAAACAGCTGCAAAAAAGAAGAGGCATCAGCTCTTTGTGGGACCCCCTGCTACTCGTGTGATTAACCAGATGGCAGTACCGAGAGGCACCCAGTTACACTCAGGAGACACATGAGATGTCAGAAATGCCATCCAAATGTAAGGATTGGTGGGGGACCACCAGAACAGTGGGTTTAATGTAAATAAGAGGGGGCCATCAACACTGAATAGGAAAATGTCTGTGAAAGATTTCTCTTCCCCCCCAGCCCTGTCCTGTGTTTCCCCTTTTTTATTCTTCCCATTTTTCTCCTAGGGACAATAAGTAAAATATTGGGGAAAAAGAAAAAAAAAAAAAAAAAGCACTTTAAAAACCTTCCATTCTAACTTATCAACACAAATAAAAAAAAAAAAAAAAAACCTGCCCAGAGCCCTTATTCCCTGGAGAAACAGTTAAAACCCAGCAGGCACCCAGCACTTTCAAAATGCCAAGGGGCAGCAATAAGCTGTTGTTATTTGGAGGTACCCTTGCATCATAACATGCTTGTGTTTCTTAGTAGCTGATACCATTCTTATAGCACGGAGTTAGAGCAAAAGGCACAGCAATAAAACTGTTCTGGTAGCTCTTTGTTTTTTTGTTTTTTGCAAATGTTGATTGTCCCACACCTTGTGTTGCTCAGAGCAGATATGACTCATCCTGACAAGGTGAGACAAAGTGCTGAAAAGCTGTAGTCAGCGATGACCACTGCCTACATCTAAAAATGAAGGTGAGAGAACTGGGAATGGCCCTTTCATGCACCTGAGAGTGCACACATATTGTTAAATATATTCAAATGATGGACACTGCCATAGCAGGCAAATTGCTGGTGAGCTATTTCAGTGGACAACTTACGCCAATGCTAAAAGTTTTCTAGCAATGGAGTGTTGATACCCAGACAGATAAAGCCAGATAAAGAAGTCTTTATGTTAAATTTCTCATGCACACTCATTGAGGCTGCATGTGAAGTGTCCACTAACCTTTTCTTTCTTAATGAACTGTGCTTCTTGGGTGTTTCTTACACAGGTGTGCTGCCCAGCCCCTTGGAACTCTTCCTCTGTTCCTTTGTTCCTTTCCACAAAAGGACTGTGGGATCCCAGCAGCACTCACAGCCATGCCTACAACAGAGGTACAAACCTGTGTCATCTTCCTTTGTGTCCTTGCTTTTGGCTTCCAGGGAAGCGTTAGAAACTCTTATCACAGCTGATTATTCCTCTTGGGAATCCCCGTTTTCTAGGACTTTGTCTCCTGTCCTGCAGTCCAGCTGCCATTTTATTCTTAGGCAGATGACTTTACATCTGGTGGCATTTAAAAACATGTTGTGTGCTTAGGCTTAGCTCATTAAGTGATCCAGATGAGGTTTTGTATCAGTGACCTGCCCCAAACTTTGGCTTGCCTGCAAACCACCAGTAATGATTTTGTGCTTTCTTTTAGGTCACTGATCACATATTAAGTGGTGCAGGGTCAAGAACTGATAGCAAGGAAACTGTGCTGTGCTCAGTGATGAGTCTGCTTACAATTGCACTCTGAGACCTGTCGGTTAGTTTTCAGTCCAATTAATACTTGTCATATGACTTACATTGTTCCTCTTTCTCAGTCAAAATATTGTGAAAGACAAGATCAGCTGTCTTACCAACTGCAGGTTTATTATATCAGCAGTACTACTTGAAAATCATGATATTTAGTTAAATTGACAAAGCCTAGTTTTCCTAACGTTGCAGTATCTTTTGAAATGGTATATCAGTGAGGCTTTTTAACAGCCCTGTGTTATTCTGCTTGGAATTGCTATCAGTATGACAAGAATATACCTCCTTTGTTCAGATAAAAGTCATACTTTCCCCCACAGGTCCCTGCTTTATTGCAAGAAGTAATACCCCCACCATGTCTTATGCAGACAGGCTCGTCCTTTTCTGCCTGATACATAGACAGGCAGAGAATTAAGAAGGTAGCACATGGAGGGATGGTACCCACGTGAATACATAACCTCTCTTGAGAGAGCAGCACTGTCTAATAAAAAGATCTCCAATCAGAATTTATTTAAGTCTAGCAAATTACTGAAAATGCCTGTTTAAAGTGCAAAATTCTCCTCCTCTGGCACTTTAAATCTCTTTGATGCTGATTAAAAAGTGACCAGCTTGAGGTATTGTTTGAATGGAAATATTTTGTTGTGCAAGACATAAACACAGAACTTTCCTCTGCTTGCCTAACAAAGGCAGCCTGTAACCAGCATCGTAAAGGAATGTAGGCAGTACTGAGGTAGAAAATAGCAAAGTGTTAGGAATTGTTATAACCTTAGATTTCCTTTCAGGTTTATTTTGGGCTGGTATATTAGTGTAAATTGGATTCATTTGCCTGCTCAGTACCTGGCATTGCTAACACTTGGAATATAGAAGGATTTGAGGGTTTTTTTTGGTTTTTTTTTTTTCTTTTTCTTTTTTGCTTCAGGTTTAGAAGCTCCCAAGAGATTTTGATTTTTTTCACCTCACTGCATTTGGATTATTACTTATCTATATTGTGAATAAATTATTTTAATACGTTTCTAGAGGAAAAAAAAAAAAAGCAAAAAAAAAAAGCAAGCATTTTTCCTCATCTATCACTGCATACCAAATAACCAGTTTTTAAGACCTTAGGGGATTTAAAACAAATTTATTTACCCTCATTGAAGGAAACGACATTAAACTTACCATGGAAAAGTGCTGTAATTCTCCTTTGCTGTACATACATTACCAAACTGAAAACACTTAAGGATGAATTACACCAAGATTTTGCTATAGGTTTGGGATTTTTTCCTTATTGCTGCAAAGTTCTCAATGCAAATATATTTTCCCTTACAATGTGTTTGAAATACAGTGCTACCCTGATCTTATTTTTTTTTGAAGCTGACAAGGAGATATGCATGCACAGGCCATTAATTGTTATTAATGTCAACTGGGCACTGAAATCCACTAAGTGGTTTTGAAAAATCAGAGCTCATTCTGCATCTGATGGACCCTGTGAGGGTAGTTGTGTATCATCTCCACTCAGTCTTACTGCAGAGGGTGTGAAGGAGCTTGTCCCCAGTCATCTGCCCCAGTCCTCTGCTACAAGATTTTACCGCTGAAATGAACCATGGATCAGCAGAACTCAGCTGCCATCTCTGCACATCACTGGATGTTCATCTCCCAGCAAACTGCCATAAGAGTAGGAACTCACTCATGGAAATAAAGTATAGTATTTTTCATTCCTCTGGTGCTGTCCATTTGATAATGTTCTACACTGTCAGCTGGTTACTCAAAGTATATTACTGAGGGGAAAAGAAAAAGACAAACACAATTTGTTTGTCATAAACAAATGCCATAAAATACCATTATAAAATACTCTGAGACTGCTCCAGGAGCATTATTTTATATCTTGTTTCAAATGGAAGAATATGATCCACTTCCCATTTGTTGAATAATTCTAACATTTTGCTGCTTAGGTACCAGTGTATAACAAAACCACTTTTATCCTGCTCTGACATCGTCTCATATTCAGAAAAGTTAGGGAGCAAATACTAGGTTCATGTTCATGTATAAGTCACTGTCATAGTCCCATCACTGCCTGCTTCTTCAGTTCTTTAAGGTCCATCATTGGAGTACTCTGATGGATGTCCTGCTGATCTACCGATTGCCAAAGCTGACACTCAGTGGCTTATCAATTGACAGCACAAAGCTTTCCGTGATAAAAATGGATCAATTGTGCACTGATCATCTGCTCCCTGAATTACTGATGTTTTACATCAGAATGATTTTTGCCTAGATGGCTGCCAAACAAAGAAAGCTTACATACCGAACCATGGGATATTTCTCTCTTCAGACAATATTTTCTACAAACCCTGGAGTCTATCTACGTGAAAAGATCTATTCATCATGTGTAGAAAGATCACTGTAGTGTAAAGATTGTAGGGGAAAATATATTTGTATTGAGAACTTTGCAGTATTGGGAAAAAAATCCCAAACCTATAGTAAGATCATGGTGTAGTTCTCCCAATGACCAACATTTCAGCACATTAGAAAGTGTAGAATTGGTTTTTTACATTGAATTCACTCTTATTCCTCCCCTTTTTTCTACTTTTTTTTTCTTTCTAATTTTACTCACATCGATTAATGTGATTAATGTTTGACCCTGCAGTAAATCCTACGATATTGCACAATCCACATGGCAGCAATACTGCAAAGTACCAAAGTGATTTAAACTTAGTCTCTCAGCTCCCATTTGCTTTAAATAAAACATAACAAGTTAACCTTCTATAAGCAAGTTTTATGCTGAAGTAGGCATCACCAGTCCATCGTGTCAGCTGTATCAGATATGATCCCTCCACCTGCAGCTGGAATAAGCTTCCACATTTTATGCTCTAATTCAACAAAAAAATATAGTTGGGGATGTACATCTAATCCAGATGGAACTGGGATTGTTCCTTTAGTAATAGTTTTGACATCATGGCCTTAGTTCTACCAAGTTTCCAATCAATTTCCTTTCGTGGTCTCATCCTGTAGCAAGTAAAACTGGTACGAAAAAAACCTGCAACTGACCACTCCATTCTCTCCTGCTCAAGCACTATAGCTGCTTTGGAATTGCTATATTCCAAGGGAAGAAAACAAAGATGTTCAACAAGACCAAATGCCAGGTCCTGCACTTTGACCACAACAACCCCAGCAACGCTACAGGCTTGGGGCAGAGTGGCTGTAACACTGCATAGAGGAAACGGACCTGGGAGTATTGATTGATGCTCAGCTGAACGTGAGCCAGCAGTGTGCCCAGGTGGCCAAGAAGGCCAATGGCATCCTGGCTTGCATCAGGAATGGTGTTGCCAGCAGGAACAGGGCAGTGATTGTCCCCCAGTACTCAGCTCTGGTGAGGCCGCACCTTGAGTACTGTGTCCAGTTTTGGGCCCCTCACTGCAAGAAAGACACTGAGGCCCTGGAGTGGGTTCAAAGAAGGGCAGCAAGGTTGGTGAGGGGTCTGGAGCAGAGGCCTTATGAGGAGCAACTGAAGGAGCTGGGATTTTTCAGTCTGGAGAAGAGGAGGCTCAGAGGAGCCTCTATAACTACCTGAAGGGAGGTTGTAGTGAGCTAGGGGTCAGCCTCTTCTCTCATGTAACTGGTAATAGAACTAGAGGGAATGGCTTCAAGCTGCGCCAGGGGAGATTTAGGCTGGACATTAGAAAATTTCTACTTCTCTGAAAGAGTGGTCAGGCACTGGAATGGGCTGCCCAGGGAGGTGGTGGAGTCACCGACCCTGGAGGTGTTCAAGGAACATTTGGACATTGTGTTGAGGGACATGGTTTAGTGAGAACCATTGGTGATGGGTGGATGGTTGGACTGGATGATCTTGTAGGTCTTTTCCAACCTTAGTGATTCTGTGATTCTGTGAAGATGATTTCCAAGGAACTTTACTTTTTCTAACGTCATTTTCAATAGATACTTCTGAGACAGTAACATGGGATCTTTTCCAGCTTCTGTGGGAATCCCTTACATCCTTTGCAAAGCTTTATCCTTTCCTTTTCCTTAAGCCTGGCACCCCAGCCCCCTTGGGTTCAAAATCAAGCTTGTGGTTTTCTCTCTCCTACCTCTCTCTATCTTTTCAGTCATGGTTTTTTTTCCTTCTGCACCTTATTGATTCCTGATCCTGCTCCTCCACCAACCTGCCACAAGGGAGATGCACTGACCCTACAGGTAACACAAGTTGAACACAATTTTAGTGAAAGCAGAAGTATGGTGACATTTAACCTAAAAGCAGGCTTACAGAACTGGGAAAGTGTAGTGCTTAATTTAAGCTTACACTGTCAAATAGGAACATCTGGCTTTTCTGCAGCGTGACTCATCTTCAGCACACAACAATGGGGCAGTGTAGCCTCTGCTAACAAGGCAAAGAGGGTGAATGTCGTTGACAACAGCCTTGCTGACGTTTTATTCCTTAAGAACTGGGAAACGCTGGCCATCTCCAGCCTCGTTGCTGGTACCTTCACCCACTACGGCTCGTACCGGTGGTAACCGTGAGGTAACACGAAATGGCCCCACGGCTCTTGGCAGACACGCAGACCATAGCACTCCTCCACGCCAACAATATCGCTCGTGGGCTGTGCTGAGCCCTGCGGTAGCAGGAGGCTGCGAGCAGACAGGTTGCCCCAACCTCCCCTCACCTCCATACCAACAGCCCCATCCCCGCCGCCTTTGCCCCTCTTCAAAATGGCGGCGCCCCTCCCCTCAGCACGGCGCTTGGGCCTCTCTACCCTCCTCGGTGGTGCTCCACTCTCCTCTCGTTGGTGCGCGTCCCCCGCCCCGCCCCGGAGGCGCCATCTGCGCGTGCGCAGAGGCCCGTGCCTTTACTTCCGCTGTCGGCGGCCGCTTCCGGGCCCCCGTTCCTTGGTAACAATGGAGCAGAAAATGGCCGCCTGAGAGGGAAGGCAGGGCGACGCTGCGGCTGCTTGGGGACGGACGGAGCGCGGCGAGCCGGCACCGAGCCCGCTGAAGACCGGAGAGAGCAGCGGAGCGAGAGCTGAGGAGACGGCGGCGGGCGGTGAGTGCGGAGGCCCGGACGCGGGCGCTCAAGATGGCACGGGGAAGGGAGAGGCCCAGGCCCATGGGAGGCGGCGGCGGCCTCCGCCCGGCGCTGGGGGCGGCCAGGAGGCGCGGACTCCTCAGCCCCGCCGTGCGGCCCCGCTGAGTGGGCTGCGGGCGGCCGAGCCGGGCAGGACGGCCCAGGACTCCGCGGGGCTCGGCGGGCCGCAGGCGCTTGAGCGGGGCCGTGCTAGAGCCGGGGGCCGTGATGGCGGGGTGCCTGAGGCCGTGCCCTGTTGCTCCGGATAAGCCGGGTCCCGTCGCCCCGGGGATTTCTCCGCCTTCGCCTGGGGCGCGTGGTGGAAGAGGGCTATTGGAGCTCCTCAACCACCGGGCAGTTGAGTGGGCGGGGGGCTGGGGGGAGGGGGGGTAACATTGGAAATGATTCTTTTTGGGAGAGGTGGGGTGGGGGAGGATTATAGGCACCGCCCCAGGCTTTGTACTGCTTAGGGCCTGCTTTGGGATTCCCGGCTCATCGGGTCAGTGCTTGCAGGTTAAGTTTCTCGCGTTAAGGCAGAAGTCCTGTTGGGGGAGGTGAGCGGGAGGAATTCTTCGTACCGTTGTGCCTTTTGGGAGGGTCGGGATCATCGCGTGACCCGTTAAAAGCTGTTGTGATTGCTATTACTGTCTTACTTGTTTCTTTTCACTTAATCGTGTAATATTTATTCTGTTACCTTGTTTCCTGTGCGAGTTTTCCTCCTTTTTTATTACTGTCTACTGACATTTGGAGTCTCCGTTTACTGTATTTCAAAACTGTTGTCAAGTGTAACAATACAAATATATCACTTTAGTTTCAATTATCAGCCTTAATGGAGGAGTAATATCAAGTTGTATAAGGTGTACTTTTTAAGGTTTGTTGTTTGTTTCGATTTCAGTGTGTAATAGGAGTTTGACAGAAGATTTCACAGCACAAGTACACTTTTTAAATTTAATGTTCTTGTTTGTGTATCTGTTTTTCAAGATGTTTTACAAGCTCATGAGGAGTTGGTAAATAAGGATTCAGTTGGGACTGTATGCAGTAGGGCAGTTGGATGTATGATGTATTTCTCCTGTCCATGTTAATAATATTGGTTATTTTCCAGTTGTAAGTTGTTGTGAAAACGCTAGAGACGCTCTAGTACTACTCTGTTCCATAATGCTAGTTGTAGTGACTTGACCGAGTGACTTTAGACAATTAATCATCTGAACTGAGAGTTTGATGCTTAGTTTTGTTGGCATGACCATTTAAAAATGACTGCATTCCGTCTACAAGTTTACCATTTTAGAATGAAACTAATTGTAGCTTGGACTTTTGCCACCTCAGCTGCTAACAAGGGGCAGCACGGCACACATCATAATATAAAGAGATGTTGGTTATGTTGGACCACTAAGCATAACAGTTACAGTACAGTATTTTGCTCATCAGCGATTCTGGCTACATAAATGTTTTGTCACTGAGAAACCATGAGCACTTTTTCAAGCTTGTAGTTGTTGCCAACTGTATCAAATTTATTTTCCATATTACTCAGTACGTGAACATACCAAGGTGTACTAGAAAGCAGTGTTGCAAGTTTCTGGTCTTCATTACATGTCTCTTTTTTTATTTTTAGGGGAATGAGTAATGTGATCCTTAAATGGAAGTGTTTTTAAAAACACCCATGTATTAATGTACTTGGCTACTTTATTTCTCTGTTCACTATCCCTATGGAAGTGTTTCAAAATAAGTTCCTTAATCCTGGCAGAATGCTGTTAGTTGCAGTGGAAGTGTTGCACTTTTTTTTTTTACAGCCATAATTTAATGACATTTACTTCATCCCATAGATTGCATGTGAGTCCAAATTAATGAAACTTAAGAAGTTACTTGGCTATTCTAAGTATTTTTTAGAGACTTCAGTTTCAGTGAAGTTCTTTTGCAGTTGTCTCAGTCTTGGTGAAAACTTATCCACTCTTTAGTTTGAGAAACTTAATGTTGAAGGGATGAGGCAGAACTTGAACATCTGTTATACTTTTTGTGGTGGTCTTGTGCATCTCAAAGCCAATACTTCTGAACAGTGCACTAGTGTAAGAACTTCAGAGAGAAGACTTCTGTATGGTGAACTGGGTGTAGCCTGAAGCATTGTACAGACTCAGTTTTGCATTTGCACAGATTCTTAGCTACTGTTAAAATCAGAAGAAATGCACAAGGCCACGTTTCCTTCATGCTGTTGAGATCTGTACTAACGAGGCACTGGTTAGCATCTTTGCTGTTTGGCAGTGTTGAAGCTCAGCTTTTCACTTTTTGCAGTTGTACAGTCTCATGAAACCATCTGATGATAATTGGTTGTGTGGGAAAAGTCAGCATGCACTTTCTCTTAAATTAGTAACTTAAAAGCATTTTACTTAGAGCAGTCTTAATTTCAGTATGCCAGGTGCTTATGCATGTGATCTTCAGCTTGTCTGTCTTAGTTTGTCATCAGAAACTGAATCCATCAGAAATGGAATGCAAGTCTTGCAGGTAGGTTTTTAAAGTCAAATGGGTTTTGCTTAGTTTTTTTTTCCCCCATTTTTATGTTCCTTGGATACTAGACAAGAACAGCAGCAACAAATCCATGCACTGGATTTCTGATGTGGGTTGTATCTGTAGTGAAATTGTCATTGTTGTATTGGCCTTTTAGTAGAAGCTGTACTAGCAGTTCTGTGAGAATGTGAGAGAATGTAGAGTTGGGTTTTTTAGTGGATTTTTACTGGCTTTGTGCTTTCAGTAAACAGAAGTTCTCTTTCCTCAGAAATCAAAACACTGTGTGATGGGCATCGGTTCTGTGGGTACAACTTCCTTAGCTGTCAGTCCTGTTTACGCTGCTGTCTTTCAGTGTCAGCACCAGTTACTTTCATGCAGAGTATTACTTCCCTGGAGCTTCAGCCTAGCTCTCCTGCCTGCTGAACTAGCAGGAAGATCACTGCTGGGAGAGAGAGCAGTTTTGTGAGACTTCTCCCAGTGCTGGAAAGTTGATAACTCGAGCATGCTAAGCTTTCTCTGAGGTCATATCACCTCAATTTGAGCAAAGAAAGCAGTACTATCTTAATTTTATTTTGAATTTCTATGTGAAAAATGCTGTTTTAATAAGTCTAGGTTATAAAATGTGATTTTGTCTTATATTCAGAGCTCTGCTTTCATGCCCATGTGCTCAATGTTCTGAAATTGCAAAGTTCCACCCTTCTGTGTGGAAGATAACAATAGAAACCTGTAGTGAATTGCTACGTGTTCTAGATATATTTGAAGTGTGGACAGTGGGCACTTACACAGTGAGATGGCAAGCGTTTCATTCCTTCATACCAGTCTGTTCTGTCAAAATGTTTTTATTGTTATTATTTTCAGCAACTGTTCTGTAAAATTGTTAATTTGCTTTCTGTTATTTAAAATGTATGTTCTGAATGACATTTTGCTTTGTGGGCTTTGCTTTGAAACACACTGGAGTGATGAATTATCCGAATCCATGTTTAACACTCCATATTAAGCTGGCATTTAAATTTTATAGCGGTCATAGAAGACATTTTCTTTCAGCTACTAGAAAGTGATGCGTGCTCCATAGTAATTTTTTGAGGCAAAGAGGACATAAGGGAGTTCTTGAGTGCTTGGAATTTGTAGTAAGTTCAGGAAGATATCTAATAATCGTATAGTGTCTCAGAGTATCTGTAGAAGGCAAGAGTAGCAGAAAAAAAGTGTATCCAAAATTCTTGATGCAACTTTGCAAACTTGAAAAGTTTATTACTAATCTTCACGTTAGAAATGATAACAAGTTAATTGTACTTATGCTATCATAGCCTTCAGTCTCTTCACAAAAGACTTGTGCAGCTGTACAAAAACAGCAAAAATCTTGATGTAATGAAGCTCCATGTATAATTCAAATAGCTGTTTGAGTCTACTGTTTTATGGTATCTTTTTCCTTTAATAATAGAATTCACTGACAGTTCTTGCTTATACTTTTGAATTTGTAGTCTTGAGTGATGAAATATTTAAGATGAAGATGTACTTCCTGTTATGTCTCTTTCTGCCAGTTTTGAGTGTTGAGAAATCAGATACTGACTAGCATGGAAAACTATTCCTCCTCCTTCTAGGAAAGCCTGGTACTTGGACTGGGGAAGGTAAAAGGGAGTAGATACTGCATGTAGCTGGTTCTGTTTTTGCTTGAACAACCCGGAATACCAGAACTGCCCATTATAGCTCAGTTCCTGTGTCATTTGAGAAAGGGAATGGGAGAGACTTATCAGGCTGTCCTGCCAAATGTGGTGGTATGTTAGAGCTGCTGGAGTCAGAGTTCACAGAAAGTGTTTTCTACAGACAGCTAAGTTGCTCTTTTTATGTAGAGCTAAAATGTCCTTGAGGTATCTTCAGTGAAATTAGGGAAAAAATAGTTAACCTGAAACAAGCTAAAATCAAAATGAAAAGTATTTCTGGCTTCCACTACTGAGTTGCTTCTTTGAGTCTAAGGCTTTGATAATTACTGCAGGCTGGATGTAGGTAGGCAAGGTGTTCTACTGGTTGAAGTACCTAATTAAAATGAGGCTATGAATCATAAATGAGAAATTAGCCTTTTGCTGAGCACATCTATGAGATGTTTATTCATATTGCCATCATCCTTTTTGTGTGCACAAAGGTATTAATCGTGTTGCTGGAACATGAGGTAAGTCAGGGAACGTTTAACATAAAGGGCACTACAAATGTTCACGTAATGTTGAAATACTGGTAATGCCAAATGGGGAAAGTTTTGGAGGAGATCTTTGCACAGCTAGCTTGTGAGTTTGATTTGCTTCCACAGTTTAACTAATTAATTGCCTTTCTCTTCTGAAAAAAGGTCACAAATCTAATGAAGATTTTAGGTTTAAGGTGTTTAAGGCTTAAGGTGTTTTCTTAAACCCTGCAATTCATGGGAGTAGATCTAGTGATTTATCATTGACTTCTGGTTTTCTGGGAAGTATGGTCCCTGAATGCTAAGCAATATGGAAATAGTGTTGCTGAAAGTAAATGGGTATATCAAGCATTTTAATACTGCCTGCTGTACCACTAAGTCTTTTTAAATGTTTGTAAATTCTTGACTGATTGGATTTTGTTTACACGTGACTTGTCATAAGGAAAAGGTAAAAACAAAACAAAAAAAACTTGTACTGTGTTCTGTAAGAATGGTAACTTTGCATTGTTGAAGGAATACCTAAAATCTTAAATCATCCCCATCCAAAGAGCATAACATTACTTCCTCTTGAATAAAACAATGTAATCAAACAGTACCCACTGGGAGCTTGCTGTGTTGCTCCTGTAGCAACAGTGGAGCGGCAGCTCATCACTTGTGCTCTCCTATCTATCTGTGTGACTGCTGGAGTGTAACTGCAGGGAAGGTCTTCTGCTGACTTGTCAAAGGATGGGAACACCAATTAAGAATTCACTGCTGTTAATGTGTCTGGGTATTCATCTGCAGAAGAATGTTTTTGTTTTTTTTTTAAAAAGAAAGTTGTTTATTCCAGCTGTGGCTCAGTATGCTATCTTGTTTTGGGTAAACTTTAGGTGATTTTTTCTCTTTCCTGTAAAGAGATTTTCATTACTGGATATCTCAGCTACAGTTGGCAGTAATCAACAGGTCTGAACTTCCTACTCACAGATGTCACCTTCCCCACCCTTTGTAAACTTAGTGCTGACAAGGGAGAGCACTAAAGAAGGAAATACTGATTCTTTTCATTTGAACAAGAATGAAACCAGTAGAAGAAAGAGAAACAAGAGTTGAAGACACCTGCTTATTAGATAATCAAATACTGGTCATTCTTCTTTAAGTTAATAGCATACCTGCAGATTTTCTTTCATCAGGTTTCTCTATGTTGCTGTAGTCAACTTCCTTAAGCCAGTTGTAATTTTCTGCGGTGTGTAAGCTGAGAGCAGAATCCTGAAGGAGGAGTGGGTTTTCCAGTTGATTCTATGATTGTGTGAGGCTCCACAATGTCCAAATAGGAGTGGAGCGATATGTGCTACCACCATGGAGATCTGCTGAGGATGTGTGACTTGCAGAGTCATATTGAGGCAGTAGCAAAAAAAATAAAAATATTTAGAATGGCTGAATATGTTCTATCTGGTAATGTAGAGCTGTGCAGTGGTGTAGGAGATGAGCCTTTAAATGGCCGGAGCATGCATGAAGAGAGAAAGTAGTAAAAGGCTCAGAGCAGAGATCCTGTATTCCATGTACTGATTTTAGTGTCAAAGCTCTAGTTGGAAGAATATTGGCCTGTTTGCTATCAAAGATGAGAAAGGGAGAGTGGTGTTGCATACATTTGTGCCTCACTTGTTTACATGGACAAAAATATCCTGAAGAGCTTCATAGCATTTGGAGGATGTTGAAGCTAAATGGTGTGAAACTGGGGTTCAGTGGGCTAGTGTACTCTGTTTTGCTTGCTCATGTTGGGAAGGTATAGTGAGTTTGGCACTAGTGGAAATAGACCTCCTGTAGATGGAACTGATTATCAAAATCTCAGATCTAAGGCAGTTTTCTTGGCAGTATTATTTTTTCTATCTCAGGCAACGGCTGATCTTACAGTTTAAGAGGGAAGATGAGAACTGAAGGAGGAAGAAAGGGGAGCAGGCCTAGAACCAAATAAGACTTTGTAGTATTCTCAACGTTCCCTTAAGGTCGGCTGTTGCAGTATACACAGTGGTAAAGAAGAGATTATTTTTCTCAACATAACTTGTTTTGACACTTTTTTCCCCTGACCAAGAATAGCTTTCACTTTGTTTTCTGAAAAAGTCTTTGTATCAAGTAGGCATTATATAGCCAACGTGCCTCTAAATATCAAGATCGCAACTATTTTGAGGGAAATATTTTATAAGTAACTTTTTACTGCTCCTATCCCTTAGTAGGTTATTGCGTTATTTTTCTGTTTTGTTGACTTTGCTTTGTTATCTCCTTTAATAAGTTTAAAAAAAAAAAAAGGGGGGTGGGGAGAGGGCAATGCTAGTTAGAGTTGTAATCCACATTCCTAAAACTAATGCATCTTTCTGGGTTTTCTTTTGGATTCAAGTCCCTAATTCTATTCAGTGTTCAGATGATTCTTGTAAGAAGTAGCTTTGTCTTTCTGTTATCTTGAGAATGAAAATGTCTTGAAATTAGTTAGGGTCATAATTCTGCTACAGAAAGTTTGTAAAAAGCTGTTTGAGTTTCAAGCAAGCTGTGTTCTCGTTAGAAGTATGTGTCTGAGATCTGAAGGGTGTACAGATTTCATAACTGAGCCCAGTCTAAGCTGAATTTACCTGCTGGATCTGTTGTGCAACTTCCCCTGTGAATAGCTTCATTTATCAGTGTGTTTGACAGTGCATCACATGCAAGTCTTTAGACTGTACCAGAGATGTAGCTGGTAGGCTGCCATTTGAAACACTAGTAAGCAAGGTGATTGCTGCTGCTTATTGATTTAAAAAAAAAAAAGGCAGAAATTGAAAGGGCCAGAAAGCAGTGACCTTCCACGCCTGTAACAGAGGGCTGTCGAGACATTTGTGCCTTACTGTGACTAACCTGAAAGCAAGCTTTACTGTGTTAGAATTCAAGATAGGATTGGAGTAACTATTTTCTGATCTGGAAGCCTGCAATAGTGAGATGGCCTACCCTGTGGTATTTTGTACTGTTCCCTGCTGGGGATACCAGTGCTCTTTAACTTTCACTGTAGCAGCAGAAATAAACTACTCTTGGAGATTCCACAGTGCTTCTCTTCTGCGGAGAAACACCAGTGTTAATTGTGGGCAGTTGGGACAGCTGTGCTGACATACAAGAAAAGTTACTTTTTGCTTTAGACAGATGTCTAAGTGCTGGAAGTTTTCCAGTAAGAAGGAAAAAGCTTTATTCTTCCGGTATTTTCATGTCACATGAAACATGGTTTGAATGAAAGGAGCGTTTTTTAATGGGGAATATTATTACAGAGCTTTTTAGCATGCAGAGGATTAGCATGCTAATCACCTCTCTGAGTAACTAGATTCTACCAGTTGTACAGGGAAATTCTTAATGTTGTGACTAGCAAGCCATAATGATTAAGGAAACTAGTTATTTTAACTTCATTTGATGTATTTGCATGGTGTAACCAGTGCCAGAATGCCTCCTGCATTTGCAGGTATTTTATTTTAATTTTGGTCAAATACAGACATTGTGTTCATGGATTACTTTTTTGTTTTGAGACATTGTGGAAGATGTTATTGAAGTGAAAAACTAAATGAGGAGTGAAGTGAAAGAAAAAGTTCTTTGTAGCATAGGTTATGACGTGTGTATACACATTGGAGTTTTGTCATGCAATTTGTTTTGTCATCAGCATCAGAAATTCACTAACTGCTGAAACTTGCAAGCAGATTCTTCTCATGACATGAAATCACAGAGCTGATTCTACACCCCCCATTTCCTCCCCCCCCTTTTTTTTTTTGAGGAATCTAATAGCCCTTTATGTTGTGGGTTTTTTTTTACATGTATAGCGTTCTATAGCATCTTCAGACTCATTTATTTAAATCTTAAATAATCCAATAATTCTGTTTAAAACTGACTTGGATTTTGAAGAAAGTCTCTCGTAGTTGTCAGCAAAGTAGATTGATTCCTGTTTTCTTTACCATAGTGCAAGGCGGGAAGAAGTGATGAATGTTTAATTCTGTACTCTTTTAGAGCCAGAGAGCATAGTTATGGGTGGCTTGTACCTTGTACTAAGCTGTTGTATGGCAGAGTAAGACACTATGCTTTGTTAGGTAGTTATAGTAGCAGGAGTACCTTAGGGTAAAGAGCAGACAGTTGTAGGCAGCTAGTAAACCGATAACATTTCTTGTGTTTGTACTTGTTACTTTTTTCAATATTGGTAGTGATGGCTGTGGTTTGTACTTCAAGTGGGGAAATATTTCATTTGTGATCTGTGTTGTGGTGCAGCTTATCTTAACTGAAACTTGATTAGCAAAGTCTTTTTCTCCTCAGGATTTAATGGTGAATAATGTATTACTGATTAGTCACATCTGAATACTGTGATCTGTTTTGTTAAGTTAAATGAAGAATTTATTTTCTTTTTTTTTTTTAGACTATTCCATTTGTCAAGATGGAAAGCTCAGATTCTAGTGATAAAGGAAATATTGATCAATCAGAAGCACAACGTCAGAGTCAGCTAGATCGCTTAGATCGGGAAGAAGCTTTCTATCAGTTTGTAAACAACCTGAGTGAAGAGGACTACAGGCTTATGAGAGACAACAATTTGCTAGGAACACCAGGTATGTAATGCTTGTGTACGTACATCATACTACAGTTACTTGGAGGTGATTTGTCTTTTTCCATTCTCCCTAATCTCTTTCACCCATTTAGCTCATGTGCTGCAGTTGTGTTCCATGTTAGGGAGTAGCTTCCTGCCAGCTTGTGTGTCTTCAAAATAGAGGGGTCCACTGACTAGTGGAGAGGGAGTTGGGATGGTGTGGATTCAGCAGGTACAAAGGTCTAGTGTTCATACCTCTTGATGGGAACTTCCAGAACTGACCCAGTTATGGCTGCTTAGACTACTTTGATAGAAAAGTAATCACCTCTAAGCATGCGTGAAAATTTCTTGCTGGTGTTAGGAGTTCATAACTAGGCTAATTAATGTGGTACAAGATTCTGCATGGGTGTTCTTATGTCTGTTTTCCATTGACTTATTACTTTAAACTGGCTCTTTATAGAGAGATACCTAATTGAAGCCAGTTATAATTTAAAACTAATTCAAACTTCTTTTCGTGCTTGTGATTTTTTTTATTATTTTTTACTCTGGGCAGTCATTTAATTGGTATAGGATGAAAAATGCTGATGAGCTGTAGAGGTTGCAGTACAGTACCAGAAAGTCCATCTGTCTTTTTTTAGTAGGTTGAAGCTGTTAGATTCTACAGCTTCAGCACAGCTTATTTGGGACAGTGGTGCTGAAGTGTTTGAATTCCCCTTATAATTACTTGCTTGGCAGTTTCATTATGGCAGGATTTAATTAAAAACAGTGGCTTGTACCTTCTTTAGAAACTTCTGATAATGCTTGCCATACATATGATTTGGAAATATTTTTGGAAAATTTTGCTTATTTTCTAAGGTGAAATTACTGAAGAAGAGTTGCTGAGAAGGCTGCACCAAGTTAAAGAAGGTCCGCCACAGCAAAACAGTGATGAGAATAGAGGTATATACAGTATTTGTGAAAACTCTTAACTTTAGCACCCCATACGGACCTTAACTTGAGTGCAGGAGTGGAACAAGTTAAGCCTAGGCAGGTGCAAGGTGAGCTTTGCTTCAAAACTAAATGAACGTTGTGTCTGATATCTGCTGCAAAGATCAGTTGGGACAGATTTCACCTGTAACACGTCTGTTACTTGCAGCAAGCTAAAATTTCATTTAGGTTTCTTTTCCTTATCTGCTTTTTAGATTATTTTCCTTCTTGACTTCTGCTCCCTTCTGGGGTGCTTTCTGGCAATTTTTGTTTTTTGTTCATCGTTCTTCCCTTCCAAGGGTACTCTATTGCTTTTATTATCGCCTCTCCAAAGAGGCTGGTGGAGGATTCTTGGAGTTTGCTGCTGGGGTTCATTCTTTAACGAGATGGGTTGCTATAAATCTGTTCTTCAAATGAAGACTCAGGACAAACTTACCAAACTCTCTGTTTAGCAGTCATTAGATTGCTCAGTTGTTCGGAAAGAAAAACACAGAATATTGATGTGACACCTGAAATACAGCTCTCCATTTATTTATGATAAATAATGTGTTACTTTGATTTGGCTGCCATGTGATGGCTGCAGCCTGTCTGTATGTATTAGAAAAAAAATCCACTCCTGCTTCCTTACTAGAGCTCTGGTAGATAAGAATTGTGATGCTATTTGTGAAGTCACAATTACATTGGATAGAGTCAAGTGCCTCTAGACAGTCACATTTTAAACTATATAAGCAATTATTTTCTTGGAAAAGATCACTCCAAAATTAGCTCAGTACTCTAATTTTGGTAGTTCCTTGTCTTTTTTACAGGTGCAGAGTCCACAGAAGATGTTTCAAATGGAGATTCTATAATAGACTGGCTTAATTCAGTCCGACAGACTGGAAATACAACACGAAGTGGGCAGCGAGGAAACCAATCTTGGAGAGCCGTGAGCCGGACTAACCCAAATAGTGGTGACTTCAGATTCAGTTTGGAAATAAATGTCAACCGTAATAATGGGAACACAAATCCTGAAACTGAGAATGAGCCATCTGTAGAGCCTTCCAGTGGGGAGGATTTGGAAAACAGCCAAAGTGACTCTGAAATTCCAAGGTCTGAATCACCATCTGTAAGGCAGCCTGGATCAGAAAGGAGCACTTCAGAAGAGTTAACTGAAGAAGCTTCTCCTAGAGGGCAGAGGAGAGCAAGAAGTAGGAGCCCAGAACAGCGGAGAACACGGGCTAGGACTGATAGAAGTAGGTCACCTATTAATCCAGTGAGTGAGGCTCCTCGCAGGTCTCATCACAATACATCATCTCAGACATTTGACCATTCAGCAGTGAATGAAACTGAGGGAAGCTCTAGAACTAGGCAGCATGTAACATTAAGGCAGCATGCAGTGGGGACTGAGATTCCTAGTGAAAATGCAGTTCTGTTTTCAGCCCCTGAAACAAGACCTGTTCCTCAAGCAGCAGGTTCTTCAGAAACTAATGGTGCCAGTGAGTCTGCAGCTCCTGGACAGAGGCCTCCTACCATAGTACTCGACCTCCAGGTGAGAAGAGTTCGTCCAGGAGAGTATCGGCAAAGGGACAGCATAGCCAACAGAACTCGGTCCCGGTCCCAGACTCCTAACAACACAGTCACTTATGAAAGTGAACGGGGAGGGTTTAGGCGTACGTTTTCACGTTCAGAACGGGCTGGAGTGAGAACTTATGTCAGCACCATTAGGATTCCTATTCGTAGGATCTTAAATACAGGCTTAAGTGAGACTACGTCAGTTGCAATTCAGACTATGCTAAGGCAGATAATGACAGGCTTTGGAGAGCTGAGTTACTTTATGTATAGTGATAGCGATGCAGATCCTAGTGGCCCAACTCCAAATCAGAATGTGGATGCTTCTGAGCCACAGAATGGAGGGGGTGGTAGTTCAAGCAATGAAAGTACAGATGTTAGCTCAGGGGAGGTGTTTGAAGGTAGTAATGAAGGTGGTTCAACATCTGGTGCCAGACGGGAAGGTCGGAATACGAGAGGATCAGTCACATTTGAAGAAAGTGGTTCTCTACCATTCCTTAGCCTAGCACAATTTTTCCTACTAAATGAAGATGATGATGACCAACCAAGAGGACTCACCAAAGAACAAATTGACAACCTAGCAATGAGGAATTTCGGTGAGAGTGATGCTCTGAAAACATGTAGCGTGTGTATTACAGAGTACACAGAAGGAAACAAGCTTCGTAAATTGCCTTGTTCTCACGAGTATCACGTCCACTGCATCGATCGCTGGTTATCAGAAAATTCCACTTGTCCCATTTGTCGCAGAGCAGTCTTAGCTTCTGGTAACAGAGAGAGTGTTGTCTAAATGAGATCTGAATTTATGGCTAAGCAGCTAGTGTAATAGTGATGGGCAAAGAAGTCACTTCCTTTATGGCCACTTTTTGAGTGGTAACTCAATGTATAGTAATTACTTGGAGTGAATCTTCCCTCATGAAAGAATTTTCTCTGAATTCAAGCTTTTAAAATTGGAAAAATTCGTTAGGGTTTTCAAGATCTAGTCAGTTTGTGTGATGAATTTCATTTGTCCAAAGACATCTACTCACTTAAAAACACTTCTTTCTTTATGAAGAGTGCTAAGTTCTATCCCCTTACTCCTCCAGTCCAATAAACATTTTGTCCTCAACATTGTGCTTATGAGTAGTCTTTCTGGGGAGTCATCCCAGCTAAATTTGCAAGAGTCATAGAGGAATTTTTGCAAGAAATCCAACTGACTGAAAAAATAACCTGAATTTAATTGCATATTTGAAAATACTTTTGATTTTCATACTGGGTTAATATTGGACATGTCTGTGTAAATAACACTAATGTTAGCCCTTTCCCCATCACTATGGCACGCTGTAGGATGAGCTGTTAGCTTAATTGGGATATTTATCTTGTTGTGGAAATATAAGAATTGCCTATGCTTGTTTAAATAAAAAAAAAAAATCTGTTTTAAAATTGTAAAGCTTTTTTGTAGAAGCTCAGTACTTTTCCAATGCACTGTTGTATTAACGCATTAAGAATTAAAATTGTACCACGCTTAGAAATTGAGAATGCTTTTCATACAAAACCCACCACAGAGAGAGCAAACTAAATACAAGAGAGCTGCTTTTGTGACTGTGTACCTGTCAAGAGCAGTGCATATCTGTACTATTTATGTGAACAACTACTGTAATATACAAGCAGTTGAATTGGACACTTAATTGCCTTTAAAAAAATTGAAGCGAAATGTTCATAGCTGCAGTGTTTTGGCTCAGTAGTGCCACCTAAAAAGATGATAAAAATTAGAAACTGTCCTAATGGTTAGTTATTCTTTCATGTGGTTACTAATATGTAATAACACAAACGAATGTGCACCAGTTCATTTGGTGACATGTATGCCCTATTTTTGTATTTTTACTTGAAATTTTGAGGTAACCCTATGTAGTTCTTCAGCAGACAAATACTGACAGTTTGGGATTTTTTTCCCCACACCAGCTTCAACAATATTAGTAATTGCTGGATCTGTTTAGTGAACATGCTGATGTGTATCCACTGCTCATAGCCTGTGACTCAGGTGCTGCGAAGAAATAAGTATTAACTGGAAAAGAGATTCATTATTAGAGCGCTAGATTAAATATGAAAGCTATAACTGATTGCTGGAGTATATTTAATGTTAATCTTAAGATTGGCTACACATTTTAAAAAAAAAAGCCTCTTCATACTCCTATTGAAAGTACTGAAATCTTGGATTTAAAAATATGTATGTGGCATATAGAAATAGGGTATTGGAAAATGTATTGCCACCTGGATGTGGTGGCCCTGCAAGAGCAGGGATTGGACCAGCTGGACTCAAAGGTCCTACCAACCACACCCAGTCTGGGATTCTGTACCTCAGCTATCATTGTGTCAGGGGGGAGTATCACTCCTCTTCAATGAGCCATCTTTGTTTTCTTCTCTAGTGACTTTTTTTTCTGGCCTGTATCTGCAACAAAGAAAGCAGTATATTTTTAATCTTCAGAGTAGTAGTTCAAAAGGGATATGAACTGCTCTTGCTGGCTATATGGGAAATATTGCTTGCTCATCAGATGACGAAACCAAAGCTGGCCTACCTTTTTTTCCTAATTAAAACACATTTTTGGTGTGTTATAGTGGTGGTTGCATAAAATATAGTCTCTGCTCTAAGCCATTTTAATGTCTCATCAGCTAGTTAAGGATTTCACAGCATCCCAGAATTCCAAATTTTTTTTGTGTGTGCATTTCGTGGTGTTTGGCTTAGTGGGAAACCCTGACTGGCTATTGAGCTTGCTTTCCTCCTGTTGGGACACCATCTTGGCTGAGGGAATACATGTGGTGTCTTTTTTTTTTTTTACAGAATAAATAAGTTCATTCTCTTACTGTTTTTCCCTCTGATATGCATCTCTGTAAAATTGGAAGTTAAATACTAATTTCAGGTGCTGGACTCTTATGAATGTGGGTAATGCATTTGATGCCAAATCTTCCTCAACAAAATAACACTTCTGAATTTCTTCCGGTAGCATTCACATAGCAAGTATGTGCTATCAGTGGTAATTGCCAGTAGCTTTATTGCCTTACTGGAGTCTAGAATTAGAAGGGAAAAAATGCTTCTACACATGAATGCCATTTTGATTTTTTAGAATCTGGTATATATTTCTGAGGTTTACGGATGGTGACCAGAAAGAAAGGAGCCCACTAGAGCTAATTAATGCGAAGCACGGCTGCGATGCGTGTCATTCAACATAGCTTTCTTTTTAATGTTCTGAGTTTCCAGTAACTGTATACTTTGGAAGACTCAACTTTACGGTTTTGTTATAGCTTAATAGTGGCATGCCTTAACATTTTATCTTTCTGTAACAATAGCAACTAATAAAATGTTGGAGGTTTCCCAAATGGTGCCAGGAACAAATAATTTATTGTAGAATGGCTTGGATTGGAGGATTGGAAGAGACCATAGAGATCATCCAGTCCCAACCCCCTGCCACGGGCTGGTTGCCCCCCACCAGCTCAGGCTGCCTGGGGCTGCATCCAGCCTTGCCAGGGATGGTGCACCCATAGCTCTCTGGGCAATTTGTGTCAGCACCTCACCATCATCTCTGTAAAGAATTTCCTCCAACATCTAATTTAAATCATCCCCTCTGGTCCTGAGAATTTAACCTCAATTAAGAAGCCCTTGAACATTAATGTTTTATTTGCCTTTTCTGATACTGAGTACACTAGCAGTGCTGGGGGCTAGTTGCCCAACACCTGGAAGAGTCGGCAAGAAGGAAATTGCTGATACCACAAATAGCTCAATGTTACTGACTTATCTGTCAGTGTCTGCAGCAGTTCTGGGGAAGGGTAGCATCCCCGCTACTCAGAGCTGCGTCTGGAAGCTCGGTGTTCACAAACGCCTTTATGCTGTACTGGAAACACCTTGTGTTCTGCATTGCAGTTGTAGAGCTGAGGTCTGGCAAGAGAAGTTCCAGAGTGCTGCATTTTACCCTAATACCTTGAGGTAATTTAATTTCTCTACTTCTAAAGTTGTATTGCAGATAAGAAAAGTCAATATTTACATTTCAGTCGCTAACATTGATTGCTATAATTTAAAAGGTTCACAATTAGCCTATTTTACAGCTTCAAAGTTTGGCGTTGGGCATTTGTACCCATTGCTTCCCTCAGTTAACACTTTCTTGGTATTGCAGGTGGAATGCAGCAACTTGCCTCGTAGTTACAGCCGTATGAAGGGCTAAAATGGCCAGTTTGATGACTCAGATGCCTGAAAGAAACAGAGGAGCAGAGGCAGCCCCGCTGCATCAGCTGCCTGGTTCCTAGTGCCACCTTGTGGGAGCCTCAGCCTTCTGCGCAGCCGTGATAGAGCCAGCTCGTCACTTGGAGCAGCATGGTTGCTTTTGTGTTGAAGGCTTTTGCTTAGTTTTGGAGGGGGATTCCCTTTTATCGCCTGCCTCGGTAGTTACGGTGGTGTTTTCAAGCAGCGAACCGGCCACGCTGCAGTTGTGAGTACCTGTGTGGCTGTGGGTGAGCTGAGTTCCTTTCTTTGGAGGCAGTGCTGTGCAGGACCTCCGCGCACAGCTGTGAAAGCAGTCACAGGGCCAAAACCTACAAGAACGCATGGCACTTTAATTTCAGGGTGCATTTAATTTCAGGGAGTGTTTGATAGTTTAGCTTGAATTGCAAACCGATAAGGAGTTGTGGATGCTTTCCTTTTTCCTTTAAATCAGGTCTTTATCCATTTAAAAACTGAAGACTTGTTCCTGGTGTTTGTTAGATTTACTTTTTCCATGTGTGCTTTTTTATTACCTGCAAGAGGTTCGGGGTTTTTTTTTTTTGCAAAGAACTTGTAGGCAGTTAATTGACTTGTTTTAAACATGGTTTCATTACTGTAGCAACAGCATGTGTAGAAATTACTCGTTAAATGTTTAAAGACTTTTAGTAGGAAGTATTAATGTGCGTGCACAGCAGCTGCACTAACGTGATACTCTACCAGTTTTGAAGGAGCCATAATTGTCCATTGTGTCAACTTGCAAACTAATGTATTTCCCACTAATGTTGACACAATGGACCATAATGACTGTCATTCCAGTTTCCTCTCAGTTAGCTGGATTATGCAAATATGTCGGGCCAGAGGACTGTTTCCCTGTCTAATTGCAGTGGATGTTTATCTTGTGATGGTTGTCTACACAATGGGGAGGGTTCAGCATGGTGTCTAATCAGAGAATCTAGCTGGAAGATGAGAGAAGGGCTGGCAGGGTGACCATGTCTGTGACTATTAGCAGCTGGATGTTTTCTGAGTCTCCCAGCATCGCCTTCACTGTCACACCACAACACAGAGGTCCATCCAGTTGGCTTGAGCTGCAGCCTTACCTATGATTTGAGATTCTTTCTGTTACTGTACTGTGTGTGTTCATGCTGCCCAATGTCTCATTTTTCTCACCGTCCTCCTGCAGGGCCGTGGGTTGTGTGATGAGGAGATGTAATGATGTTTGGAGCTGATGAGGTGAGCAGTTGTTATGGGCATCTGCCTGCTCGCTTTGGACGAGAGTTGGCTTGGAGCCACGATAAGTGAATTTATAACAAATTCAGAAGTATTTCCAATCACTGCATGCACCAGGCTGTTTGTTTGTTCTTGACTAGAGAAGGAAGAAAGAGGGTGAAGATTGATGATAGCTTATCCAAAGTACATTAAAGTTGTGTTAAAAAAGAAAATAAATTTGCATCTGTTAACCCAGGTCTTCCCAACCTCTTTCTGAGGTATCCTTTTTTTTTATTTTTTTTCCTCTCTTCTTTTTTTTCCTCTTACAGGGAAGCATACTTTTGGATTTGGTTATTTTATGTGGTTTTGATCCTTTAGCTGAAATACCCGCGCTCCCTTCCTGAATCTCACTCTGCTGTAAAGCTGTTGTTTGGGAAGCCCTGAATTCAACTGAGAATGTAAGAGACTTCTTTTTTTTTCTTTTTTTTCTTTTTCTTTTTTTTTTTTGTTGTTGTTTTGTACAGTGCTTTACATCTGTTTATACTGGACTTGTTTAGTACAAAATGGTACTCTGAGGTCATCGGACAACAGTTCGATCAGATTTGATAGCTAATATTTAGGAGGAGTTTGTTCCCTATGTAAGATGTCATAATGCAAATTTAAATAGACTCAATAAAATGCATGAAGTGATAATTTTGTGCTTGATCATCACTCCTTGGGTTTACTCTTCTTACACTGGGAATGTGCCGGAGTAAATACTGATGGATGCGGTAAAAATGTATGCGCTTTTCCCTTGAAGCTGAAAAGACCTGGAATGGTACAGAGTTAAGTTCTCAGAAGAGTTTATTGCTCCTTAGTACATAAACCAAAAGCAATAAATCTATGTACCGGACTTGTGTAAATCTGTCAGTGGATAGCATGGGGCACCAAAGCTGTAAGTTATCTTTCAAGTGGTAGCTTTGACTTTTATGGGCGCCCATCAGGGACCGGGGCTTAGTGCTGAGTCCCACTGGAAATACACCGAACACCTCACGGTGTTTGTGGCTTTCATAAGAAGTTCTCACATATGGCTAAAAGCTTCACCCTAAATTTAGTAGCTGATGTATGTGCAAATGCTTACTTGAGTGGGAAGGAAATTTCGTAGGGTGTGGGAAGCTTGGAAGCTTGCTTTATTGCTGGTGCTTTCCTCACCTCAGTCTGGTCCTTGAGAAGGAAGCCAGAGCTGTTCCTGGGCTGAGGCCTGATGGCATCGCAGCAGAAGGCGGGGAAGGATGGCAGTGTTTGGATGCAGACACGCGGTGCCCTGACTGTTGGGTGCCATCCAAGCTGGCGGCAGTTTCACAGCCAAGCCGATGCTTGGCAGCGCTGTGTGGGATGGTCTGGCTGTGGAAAGGAGGAAGGTCGGTGGGCTTCCCAAGGGATGTGCGGAGCAGGGATTCTGCTCAGGACTCTTCAGTATGAGCTCTTCCCAGCTGCCAGGGGCTGCATCTGGAGCTCTGTGGTCTGTCTGCTCTGACCGGTTCAAACTGAAATTGGAGAGGGCCCTGCAGCCTGTTCCCTGACAGGAATTCTGTTTGGCAGTGCAGAGGCGGGGAGGAAAGTGGAGCTCTTTGCTGCAAGCTCGTCCTTCTCAACTGCTGTGTGTCAGGACCTGTTTGGGGGCTTTTAACATAATGAATCTAAACTCAGCTGCGTTGTGGCTTCCTAAGCCCTAACAATAAAGTTATATGAGGAAAACTAAGCCCTCTTTTTAGTCTTAAACGAGATGATATTGTCTTTGACACTAATGAGATGCTGATGCTGCATGCTCCAACTGTTCTCCTGAATAAATCCCCTGCTGAGCCAAGCATGTGAAAAAGCAGGCATCGAGCCTCCGTGACAATGACCACTTCATGGAACAGAGTCAGGCTGCACTGTTTGCGTAGGGTTTCTGTGTTTTCACACATTGTCATGCACTGCTGTCAGGTCCGGGGCTCCCAAGAAAAACAGCTTGTGCAGTGTACGGTCCGTGTGGTAGCACTGAGGTGCTGCTTGGCGTGCTGCAGTGTGACAGCAGTGAGTGGAGCTGTGACTGCAGTGAGTGTCACTGCTGTGATGGGGCCACACTGCCATCCAGGGGGCCATTGAAAGGCTGCTGACAGGGGCTAATGGTGTCCTGGGATGCATTAGTACTGCCAGGAGGTCAAGGGAGGTGGTCCTGCCTGTCTGCTCAGCACTGGTCAACACCTGGGTCTAGGTTCTGGGCTGCCCAGTGCAAGAGAGCTGGACATACTGGGAAGAGTCCAGCACAGGGCCACCAAGGTGATGAAGGGCCTGCAGCACCTCTCCCATGAGAAGAGGCTGAGGGAGATCCGGGCTGCTCAGCCTGGAGGATGCTTGGGTATCCCATTCATGGCCATAATAGCTGAAGGGAGGTGCAAAGAGGAGGAGCCAGGCTCCTGTCAGTGGTGCCCAGTGTCAGTACCAGAAGCAGTGGGTACAGACTGGAGTGCAGAAGATTGCATCTAAAATTCCAGAAGCACTTCTGTGCTGTGTAGGTGATGGAGCCCTGGCACAGGATGCCCAGAGAGGTTGTGTGTGTTTCTTTCAAAGCTTCTGGACATAGTCCTGGGCACCCTGCTCTGTATGGCACTGGATGGACCCAGAGGTCCCTTCTAGCCTCAGCCAGTCATAGGTTAACCAACATATGCTATTGTCTGAGCGGGTGAAATGAAAGCAGATGTGCAGTGGAAGACTTATATAAGTTAATCTCTGTAGGCACTGCTGACTTCTATATAAACCAGATTCACTTGGAAACAATGCTGGTGGTGCCTTGGGGATGAGTTTGCTTCAGTTTGTAATGATGAGAGCTAGTGGGGATATAGGACAGAGGAAGAGATGGGAAAGAAGGGTGAGCACAAAGCAGGAAGGCTTAGGAAGGGAGTAGCAGGATGCAAACAGGCAGGAGGAGGGCTGGCATGAAGGCTGGCAGCCCAGTAGGTAATGGGGCAGTGGCATCTGAGGCGGTGTGTGGTGCGTGGACAGGAATAACCGAGTGATTTATTTCCAGTGGGCTTCAGCGAGAGGGCTGGGAAAAGACTTCCAAGCTGCACTGAGCACGGCTGGTGAAAGCATCAACGTGGGCGGGAGAAGGCAGCGGGGCCAAGCATGCTGGGGGGACGAGGTGCCGGCCACGTACGCCGGGGCTGAACAATGCTGCAGATGGGCCGATAACGGATTTATAGCCCAGCAGCACAGCACCTCGGAGGAAGAGGTGAGAGTCACAATAGCCGGAGCCCTGCTCACCCAGCACACACCAGCACACCAAAACAGCCCCAAATACCACTCGTATATGTATGCATACATATTTTTTTTCATCCCTTGTTTTGCTTTGCCGCCAGTACGACGTGATTTCCAACGTTGCCTTCTGCTGCTCTGCATTAAAGCCCCTAAAACCCAAGCAGGCACTGCTGCTCCTGCTGTCCCACCACAGGGCGATGCCCCATTGACCACTGGCAGGCACTCAGCAACCCCGAACAGCACAGTCCACGCTGTGTGCGTACCTCTAAACATGACCAGAGATGGATAACGCACCGTTCACAGAGGCAGCTAAAGCACATGTGCAATTCATAGCTACTAGCAAACTAACACAAGACATAGTGCTTAGTATTTAATATATAAAATACACATACAAATATTCCGTTTCATAAGAATAAATGTCTCGCAGCAGGCAGGCACACAGACACACCTATGGATATGTGTATGTATATATGTGTGTATATATATATATGTATGTATCTATTTGCGTATTTGTATGGGGCTTGTGGAGGTGGGCAGTGACAGGCTGGTGCTCCTGGGGTGTTCAGCGAGCAGCCTGTGTGCAGGTGACTTTTATCACGTAGCCCAGCACCTCTCAGCTTCCAGCTATCCACAGAAGATCACTCCAGGATAGAGTAGGGTTTTTTTGCACCGAGGCTCCTTGCATGGCGTGCCGGCTCATAGAGGAGCTCATTGCCGCTGCCTTGCAGCCTTTGAATCCCTTTTTACTGCCTCTTATCTCCTGCTGGGGATTTTTTGAATGTTATTTGCAGTAAATATCCCTGACTTGAAAAAGAGTTGAGATGCACATTAAAATAAAAGAAAAAAAGCCTGTGCCATGCCAAATTAATGCCTATGTCAGCTTTCATCTAATGTCAATTAAAGCAGCTAGTATAAACAAATCGTTACGATAAAACCCTTGCTAAAAGCCCTGTTTCCAGTTCCACAAGCTATGGCGACCTCACTGATGCACAGTCGCCCTTTTCTTTCCTGGTGCTCTGACACAGCTTTGGGTACCCAGCTGGGATGTATTTCTTTAGGAAACCACGACCCCCCTTCCTTTTTAAACTGGTTTTATTCTATGCATTTTTTTTTTTTAAACAACATTCATAAAACATTCATTACAAAAGAAGTGCTAATATGGGATGGTTTTGTGTTTTTTTTGTTGTTGTTGTTGTTTTTTTTTAACTTTTTTTTATATATCAACAATCAGAAATTCACATTTTGAAAGGACGGGTCATACTTTTAAGACACACATTCAAATACTTTAAGATACAAAATTTTAAGGGAATATAAATCACTTACAAGGAACAGATGTCAAAAAAAAGAAAAAATAAAAAGGAAAATTATATGAGTTCAGTTTTACCAATTTCTTCACCTACATCTTACAAGCTCCTGTGAGGCCAGTTCTGTGAGGTGCAGCACTTCCACCCTTCCCAGCTGTGCCTTAAATACTCATTGAAAGCCAAAGCATGACCCAAAGCATTGCTATGGGCCTGACTTCTGCACTGAATTAAGCACCTGCTCTCAGCCACAGACCCTAATGCCTTGTTACTTACCCTAAAACTCAAGCCTCCACCTTGGTGCTCATACGTGGCGTCAGCTCAGACATCTTCCCCTTTGAACACAAATGTTAGGCTACCTGAAAACTTCCCCTGGGAAGCAGATCATCTTACATGCCATGCCTCACTACGTACACAAAAAACAACAACAAAAGCTTAATTCCTTAGCAAAACAGACACTAACTGCTCACAGTGTGCCTCGCAACCACGCTGCTCTTGGCAGCCAGAGCTGGAAGGTCAGCGAGGAAGAGGTTTAAGGACAAATGTCATGGAAGGAGATTTTGGGACGGAAGAGGCACTGGGGAGTTGCACTGACTCTCTTGAGGAGGCCTGTGCCCTGCAGGGGCGATGAAGGTGGGACAGAGCGGCTTGCTGCCTCGGCTCAGAGAGGCCTACTGGGAGCCGCCTGCTGCCCACGCTCAGAGGTGATTTGTTTTCCAGGCCCTGATTTGGATGCTGTAAACAAAGTCAGGAGCCAAACTGCTGTTAGTCCAGACATCAAACCCACATCCTGCAGGTCACCAAAATGTCCACTGGGGCAAGTGGACACAGCACCGGGGTTGAGCTTTGCTCTCGTGAGGTGGGTGAGAATGGGGGCACCCAAGAGCAAGGCAAGTCCTTGATGTAGTGCTAAGGGCATTGCAGTGTTTGCAAAAAAAAAAAAACAAAAAAACCCAAAACAAAAATAAACCACAAAAAAAAAAAGTTGTGTAGGGGGAGCCAGCAAAAGCACAGCGATAAGCGTAGAGCAAAGTCCGTTGTGCATCCCTGCTCCCAGCCAGCAAACACACAGGCGATGCCTCTGCATGAGGGAGCAGGCCAGGCACTAGCAGCCCTTGCTGAGTACATGGTGCTAAAGGGCAGCTGGCTTTGGGAAGAAAGCATCCAAAAGAGTTGGCAAGTGTGCTGGGGCTTTCCAGTGCAGCCCCATTTCCTCCAGCCAGCTGGACAAGGAGAAGTGAACTCTGCCAACGTGAAAACTCTGGAAGCTGAAATATCCAAGGTAACCCCCAAACAAACCTCTGCTGGGTACAGATGCATAAGAAAGCCATGAAAGTAGTGAGAAGCAAAGGCTGGAGGATTCCTGGCTCCACTGTGACCAACCAGAGCCCAGGCAGGAGCTGCCTGAAGCCTCATGAGATGCTGCAGGAGCATCATTCCCTACCAGAGCAAGAGGGGTTAAATCTGGCATTTCACCCAGCCATGAAAATAAGAGGCAAAAAAAGAAAAGACAACAACTCACTTTGGAACACCCTGAAGCTAAAGATTTAGGAAGGCAGTCCCAGCCAGCGCTGCCGGGGCACGTCCTGCACTTGATGTACGCTTGCATAAGGCCATGTGGCTGCCTGAAGCAACGAGTGCACCTCACTGGGGGAAGCTGGGGTTTTTCATTACAGAGGAGCACAAGGCAGGTTTTTCTCCCTAGTCCTGCCTCACCTGCCCAGAGGAGGCTGGGGTGCACTGGGCCAGGACACTCGAGAGAAAAGCTAGATGCACAACAGCTGGCAGCCAACGTCAAAACTGTCCCCATTGTGCACAGCTTCCTACCATCATGGCAGACTTTGCTCTTCCAATTGTGCATGCAGACTGTACCTTTCATTGCCTTTCCTGCCTTGACCAATGGCTTGTTTTGACTTCACGTTGATCAAAGTCATGACCCTAACTGGACAAAGATGCTCACAGCAGGTTGGGGAGGCTGTCGACAGTTTTTGAGTTAGGATGGTATGAGATTGTACCGCTTCCACTGAAGTTGGGCAGAGACAAGACACGGGACTAAGCGCCTTCAATATTAAGAGGCTCCAATAGTAAGCAGATAAAAAGACCAACCTTTCAGGGATGCTGAGTCAGGCAGGACTTCCATCTGATCAAGCACTGCTCCCATGCCAGTGCAGCATTGAGCTCCCATGGAAAGGCCTCTATGAGCAGGCAAAGCACTTAAGGCACGTGGAAATCTGCAAAGATTTCAGTGTTTGAGGCAGCACCCCTTCTCCTATTGCTGGGCAAAAGATGTTTCTACCATTTAAATCCGTCATGAGCTTGCCTCGTGGGGCACTATGGTCAGAACGAGGATTTTGTGGTAGATGACACCCTGCAGAAAGGCAGAAGCAGACTCAGAAAAGCCAAAGGAGGGGAAATGGAACAGACGCCTCGCTTACAGGAACAGACACATCACAACACACCAGTATATTCTCCAGCTTGTACAGGGACAAAAGGAACAGAAGCACAGACCACAAGACCTTACAATGCACTAGCCAATGCAGATTAAAAAACAAAAGGGCTAGAGGGACATGCAGGATGCGGAGCTATTTACAAGGCTCCTGTTTCTAACAGCAGGTGATGGGGAGCAAAATCCGATGGATGACAGTTCCGCAGGCAGGATGGAAGCCACCTTCAGTCCTTGCCCTCTCCTGAGCTATTCCTAATTCCCATGCCTCCTGTATCCATCCTACCTGTGGGTTTCACTTCTCAGGACTTCACAGTCTTCAGGCACCAAACGTGGAGGTGAGAGGTGCCCAGAAATTCGCCTGTCTCCCCTTATGTTTTTAAGGTAGATTTTGCAGGATACTTTCATCAACCCCATGAGTGCATGCAGTGGAAAAGGAGAGAAACAGCTCAAAGCAGGTCCTGCTGCCCATTTCTCCTCCAAAGCTGCTTCCCCTGCGGAAGGGACTGTGCTGCCCGGACATGGCACACCAGAGGGGACAGGGCATCTGGAAGGGGCAACAAGCTCCACCTATGACCTCCTTTAAAAATACATTTATTATCTGTAAACCTCTGTCGTGACATATAGAAAACTAGGGAGATAATCAAGTTTGAATCCTGATGAGAGTTCTCCTTAGAAAAAATGGTTAGAGGAAAAAAAAGGCGGCTTGAAAATTGAAACTGTCCCAAGAAGAAGTGTTTCTGCTAGTTAAAAGCCTTCAACTAGAAGAACTATTTCTTGTCCTTTATAAATGTAGTGCATCTGAAATCATTGAGAATTACAGTCTGGCTAGAAAAGGGCCTGTGCTTGGGCTGTGGAGGATGCTGGTGGCGATTGTGCACTTGGCACATCACATGTGTGCTTCGGAGGCAGGGCAGCCCGGCAGCAGCTCGCCATTCACCACTGCCTCAGGGGTCAGCATCTTGTCCTTGCCAGAATCCAGGCGCTGCTTCTGCAGCATCCTCTGGTGCACCAGCGGGACGACAGAGAGCACCAAGCTGCCGATGATGGGAGGCACTCCGGCAAAGTAAAAACCCGCATGGTAATTCTGAAAATAATCGTTGAAGTATCCTGGAAGAGAAGAGCAATGGTGGTTATCCTCTTTAACCAGGACAGGCGAAAAATCAGACACATGCCAAACAGTCACCAATGCAAGCTGAGTAAGCACCCTCCAAAAATAACACATTGCCATTTATCGGCTCTGGAAAATCCTTCTGATGCAGGATGCTCTGTACAGCTCACATTAGATGTCCCTAATTCTAGGAATTCCCTTCTGGCAATGAATCATTCCCAGACGATTTTTAGCTCAGATTCCAACTGCAAACAGTTAACGTAGTCACTTTGTTCTTGCATCCCTTTCTCTGTCCCCTACTTTCCTTGGCATGGAGAAAAGCACAGAGACACTGCATGCAAACCCCACAAAACACAATGAGCCAGAAAATCCAAAAGCTCCTATGCCAAAACGCCACCCTCGGTGACAGCAGCCATAAGCATCTGTTCCTTCCCAAGAGCAGGATCCAGGTGCAGCACCACGGTGTCACCAACCTGCAATTGGCGTGCCCGCAGTCATGGGCACAGCCATCAGCCCCATCAGGTACCCTATGGCCTGGGACGCTTGCATGGGCCCCACCAGCTCAAAGGCAATGGGGGCCATAATGGTGGTGAAGCAGCCATCGCAAAGGCCGAGGAAGAGGCAGATGACGATGACGCCCTCAAACCCTCGGCACTGCGGGATCATCATGCACATGATGCCGAACAGAACAAAGGACGCAACCTGGGGAGACAAAAGCAGGCATGTCGTTGGGGAGGGGCAGCAAGAAGCCATTCTGCTCCATCCCTCCGGTCACTTGAGGGTATCTCTGCTGGGCAGGAATGGGGAAGTCCCCAAGCATGGAGCACCAAGAGAAGCAAGTCACGGGCTTTGTGTTTTTTTAGTTTTGCAGACATGATGAGGACACCAGCAAAGCCAGAGTCATCTGATCACACAAGCAAAGCTACAAGGCCCAGGGACAGAATATCCACCAAGTGTCCCACTGGAAGGAGTGACAAGCTGTTGGCAGGGAATATGAGCCACTCAAGGGCAGCCAAGTAGAGCAGGCACCATGGTTACCTGCAGGTAAATCTTCTTCAGCCCAGGTATGCAGTCCCCAATGCGGCCCGAAATCAAGCGCCCCAGCCCAGACATGCCTCCAAGACAGACTGGGAGAATCCAGTCCTTTTTGGTTTCTTTAAATTCCTTCTCCACGTATTTCACCTAGGATGGAGGGAAGGACATAAGGACATGAATCCACAATTAATTCACTTCAGCAATGAGCTCCCGGATTTGGGGGTTGTTGTGTGATACCCATGTTTACACTACATTGTCACACCACCTCCACCCACCCCACACCCTGCAGCCTCCTCCTTGCCCACCACTGATGCTCATCCCCAAAGCAGAGAACATGTGGGAGCATGACTAACTGTTTTTCCCCACCTCTGGTCCCATTACAGGGCAATTTCTTAGTTTTGAAGCTTTTGATGGCTCAGTCCCTGCTGTTTCCCTCCTCCTGCCCGCTTCTGCCTTTGCATCTCCACCCATAGTCAAGGCTCTTACCAGATGCATGTATGGTACAAAATACCCCAGGACAGCTGTAGCAATCCCAAAGGCCCAAATTCGATAGGTCTTTCTCCGGAAAACCCTCAAGTTGAAATACTTGCGCATCTGGGCCCAGCACTGCTGCCGCACACTCCGGCTGCCCAGTTTGTCCTGCCCATCGTGCTGAGAGTCACAGGAGGGTGGCAGGAGGGGCCGATATGTCAGTGACAAGAAGATCTGGATGAGCATTAAGGCACTGAGCACTTGGAATGTGTGCGCCAGCCCGATGGCCTTTCCCACCATCTTCAGGAAGAAGGGCAGCGGCACAGAGATGAGGCAGCTGCTGCCGGCCACGATGCCATTGGCCAGACCAAGGCGACGCTTGAAGTAGTGACCAAGGATGACCAGCGAGGGCTGAAAGGCAAAGGAGCTGCCACAGCCAAAGAGGATGCCGTATGTGAAATAGCGAACTTCCAGAGACCTAGTGGGAGGAAGACATTGAGACGGTCACAATATGCGGAGGCAAGGAAGCTGTCTCACCTGCTGCCCTGCAAACCCTTGTGTTGAGCCTAAGGGCAGGCATACCCTGCATAGTCAGCCTGGCCTCGAGGAGCTTATTCCCCAGCCAAGGCAGGGATTATCCTCAACTCACAGCTGGCATGTTAAACCTCCAGGAAAATGAAGACTGTCTGGAGAGTGCTTTCTGCAAGGAGGAGGAGGCAGCACCAACCTGCGTGCCTTGGGAAGCAGGCTTGAGTGTGTGGTTTTTAAATACTGCAGGCAGTTTTCTAAGGTAGGCAAAGGGTGTTATTTTTAGTTACAAGTCTTTTTTTTTTTTTTCTTTCCTTCTTTCTTTCCACTGAAACGACTAATTGAAAACATTCTGCACCCAGTGTTTCAAAGCAGAAGGCACCAACCCCAGTTATTAGGCACTTAGGGAGAGAACATCACATTTCTGCCCAGGCTCCAGGCTCCTTAATTATGTTCTCCTTTTTTAAGCTCCTCTGGGAGCTTCAATTAGATGGTTAATAGATCTCATTTGTACCTTACAGAGGTGTCTGTGCTCAAGCGGGGAGCAATGTGGCTGCTCTACAGAACAGAGGGAAGTCTGAGAGCCTTTGGAAGGAGTTTCTTCTCAAGGCCAGCTTGGTTTTCCCAATGAAACCCACTTCCTTCCTTAGCTGAACTAAAGGAGTGCATAACACCCTTCTGTTCACTCCAGATGGAGTATTATTTCATCCCTGTGTAATACATTCACTTGCAAAAGTCTGCCACAAAATGCTGCATTGGAAAAGACTGCAATAGAAAGGTCTGGGCAAGCAATGCTGCACCAACGGGGTCTCCTCTCCAACACTCAGAAGTGCTCATGTGAAATACTGAGTATTGCTCACAGAGCAAACAAAAAGCAGACCAGATCTAACAGAGCAGATCAAAACTGAGCAAATGTTTACAAGCACATCATTTCTTCCATGACAAGCTCTTCTCTTTAGCAAGCCAAGCGGGACAGGGAACATGAAAGCTGTGCCCAGGGGCTACAGGACAAACTGCTGTCTTGAACGGCAATTTTCAGCTACCTCGGGGCAACTCTACATCAGAAACACATCCTGGAGTCAGTAGGCAGCAGGACAGCTCTGACCACATACTCAGCAGCCCTGACCACCTCAGCTGGGTTACACCAGCCTTGGTGCCACAGCTAAGCTGATATGTGGGATAAAAGGAGACAAATGTCTCTGTTCCCATCTGCTCACCATCAACACTAAGACATCCTTGTGGGACAGCTCCAAAGCTAGGCCTCCTTCCAGCTTCACTGCTTAGCCAGGATTTGCCACCCTGCTGGCTAGGAAGCAACCAGCTGCTTCCCAGTAGGAAAGCAGTACGATCTCCCTGGGACAAGGGGGTCTCCCATGGAGAATGAGGTTCTCCCATGGATAATGAGTCTCTTTGGAAGAGCAGGTATTCCAGAAATCCGCATCCTCCTGGTACATGGAGCTCTCCCACGGATAACAAAGTCCCTGTGGGTAAGGTCTCCTGTGGGTGAGGACAAGGAAGCCTCTGAAGGATAACAAGGTCCCAGTGGGTAACAAGGTGCCCATAGGTAACAAGCTCCACTGGGAGGAGGAAGTGCCCCTCCAGTGGCTGCCCCTCACTGATGCTCCCCAGGGGAAGAGCCCTGGCTCAGCCCTGCTGGCAGAGCTTCAGAGGCAGAAAATGCAGAGGGGAGGGAGAAGCAGAAGGGATGGAATTCAAAGCTCAGCTCTGTAACACAACAGAAAATGCAATAGTAATAGCAAGGTCCTAGATGTAGCAAGTGAAGGTTTGCACAAATACAACAGCCATGGGCACAGAAATAAAGGAAACAAGATGCTTGCCTTTAGAAGGCCTCAAGTATGCAGGAAACTCCAACAAGATACCCTTGCCTCCACTGCCAACCCTTAAATGAGCTTTGGGAAGTGGTGGATCCTGGCTCCACCTCTTCTGGTCACTCAGGTACATTGCATGCCCCTGAGCTCCCCTGGGTTGGCCCTGCTTTCCCACCAGGTACTCCATCATTGTTTCAAGATGTGACTTAGCAATTCCAGTACAACCACAAAATACCTCACACAGCAAGATTTCTCTCTTCCTAAGACATGGTGGCTCATATGAACCCAGCCCTTTGTGCCCAGTCCAATGACAGAGGCATCCCCAGGCCCATGATTCTGAGAGTCCCCAATTTCCGGGAAGATGTCCCTGATACCCTACCCCTCTGCATGGTGACAAGGACTCCAGGCAACCACAGATGCAGGGGGCCAGGTTTCCCAACAAGGCACCCCAGGGTGGGAGCACAGAGCCAGGCACGCCCTCTATGAAACCAGCAAGTTTTTACTTGAAAAACCACTTCTTGCAGCATTGTTAAAACAATATTGATTGGAACTGAAACCCAACCCACAGCAAAATTTTTATTCAGACAAACTGAGGCAAATGACACTCTGGAGGATGTCTCTGCAGCGCCTTTGAGACAACATGCAAAGAGCTGTGAGTAAAGGACACTGGGGGTGACCTCTTTTTGCTCCCACTGAGATGGAAATGCATTGGGTTGGAAAGTCTATCACATCACATTGGGTAGAGCTGCCATCAGAATGCACATTAAAGAGCACCTGCCTGGGGAAACGTGCAGCAAGCCCCATGCTTGAGTAAAGCTCATGCTTGTTAAGGACAAAACTGCAGCTTGGAGAGGGATGTGGGCTGTAGTGATGCCTGGAGAGCACTTATCCAGGCTGAAAACCCCCGTCTGCCCCAGACTTTTATCCTTACTTGGTGAAGGAGCTGGAGAGGAGCCCGATGAAGGCGATGGCAGCTCCCAAGGCTGCTGTGGTCCTGCAGCCGATGCGGTCAGTGAAGATGCTCACAATGGGAGAGCAGAAGAAAATCATGCCCATGGCCAAGGAGCCAACCCATGCTAGGGAGAGAGAATGAAGAAAGGTCAGGGCTATGATTGAATGGGGGTAGGGCACTGAACAAAACAAGAACCAACCCCAGTGCTGAAGTCAGTCTGGGCAGAGGCAGTCCCATCACACGACGTGTTAACCCCACATGTGCAGCCTGAGTACCACAAGAACCTTGATGCACTGATGGATGGACTGGATGATCTTAGTAGTCTTCTCCAATCTTAATGATTCTATGATTCTGCTATCATTGTTAGAGCCAAAAGGTCCCATATCTCAACTTGAGGTATGGGCTATCCAGATCCAGAGTCATGAATACAGCATTTCTTCCCTCCCCACGAAGCCAGGGCTTCCCAACCTCCAGGAGGCTCCAGTCTCCATCAGCATGGTTTTACCATCCCTCCTAGCCCCACCAGCAAGAAGATAGATGCAAACACAGCAAACAAGGCACATCAATTGAACAGCAATTAAATAAACATGACAAACAGGCAACTCATGCTGTTGGCATGATGGGAACTGGATGTCAACACAAAATGAAAACCAGAGATGTGGCGGAGGCTGGAAGGAGGCAGCTGGAAGGAGGAGTGCATGGGGATACTTCTCTGCCTTCCGAGAGCTGCTGGCTGTGCCAGCTGACATCCCATCCCCTGGTTAGGACCAGGAGCTCATATCTCCTCTCAACTCACCTCTGGAAAAACCACTGTCTGTCCATCTGTCTGCTTTAGGAAGCTTTTATTATTTGCAGATTATTTCAGCTCTACCCTCAACCTTGTCCCTTTTTAATGGTTTTGGTGTGTGCTTTTGGGAGGAAAGGCAGGCTTTCAAGAAAAAGCAATGTGGAAAGGAAAAAATCTGTCTACCCACAGTGAGGAGGAGCAAGGGGGGGAGGCTGCACAGGACAGACAAACAGTCAGACAAGGGGGGCAGAAGGGGCTGGAGCAGCAAGCCTGGAGCACCCAGCCTGGTGCATCCTGCGGCCCTGTGCCACGTTCCTTGCTGCTTTCTGACTTCTATCTCCCTTGTACCCACAGCAGGAGCTCTGCAAGGCCTCTCAGCACCCAATAGCAGCCAGGCCTCCGGCAGCATGAGACCATCAGAAAATAGTCAGGTCCCCATTAAGAGAAAATTCCTGCTGCACAACAACCTCCCTGGCTTGGCCTCTCAGGGACCACACAGGGAAGCTCTGGAAGAGCCGGCCCTTCAGAATTAATTGCAGGCTCTCAAGGAGCCAATTTAATCAGAAGTATTCCTTAATAAATTCAGAGAGGAGCAAACACGAGAAAAGAAAAGCCAAGGCCAGGCTGCAGCGGGGGAGAGGGGCGGGAGGGCGGCCAAGATGGGCAGGGCTCGGTAAAGTGGATAATGTGCTTCCAGAACTGTTCCTTCTACTGCAGCCAAGGCAGTAAAATGTGAGATGGCCCCGTCATGTTTGAAGTTTGTTATTTTTGGAAATTGCTTTAAGAAACACGGAAATAAAAGCATAAAGCGTGTATTAAATTTAAAGGGCCAGATTCGGATCTTAACAGCTCCAAGATTTACACGCAAGTAAGCAGGGTCAATCTCTCACCCAAAATATGCACTCACCTGCTGAGATCAAAGTGAGCCCCGGCCAGCACTCAGCACCAAGTGCTCAGCATCCCCGGCTCTGGGTTTAGGAGAGGAGATAGCACCCAATTAAAGCTGCTAAACAAAACAGACTCCCATGGCAAATTGCTCTACCTCAGAGAAAAGGCTTACCACAAGCAATGAATAAAAAGAGGTTTTGGTAACAACAGTGAATTACAATTACTGGGAACAACAACCTGGCTGGCAGAGGATGTTGGGACTGGAGGAGGCTGTGAGTCTGGAGGACACCTCTGTGGCTCCCACTCCTCAGGGATGTGATACCTGCCTCTTGTTTTGAGCTGAAGGAGCTCTGGGGATGCTTGGGGTGCAGGAAGAGCCAACCATGGGGCTGGTGCCATGAGCAGTCCTCTCCCCTGCCTCTGCTGTAGCAGAGGCTGACCAAGGAAGGCATCCCATCAAGCTCAAGAGGAGTAGAGCTTCAGCTACAGCTCCCCACATGGCTCCTTCCCACTTTGACTTAATAAAGACAGCCAACTTGCTGACTTGTGGTGGGTCCAAAGGCCTTCAGCGTGGTAGAGAAGGCAGTGGTTGAAGGTACTCAAGAGGAATGTCAGCAACGTGGCTGAGACAATCCCTGCTCCCAGCACTGCTTGCTCATGGCTCTAGATGGAGCAGAAACCAGAGAGCATCACCATTTGCCCACATCATCAGGCCATGACTGCAATGCCTTGGGACCACTGCTGGGAACCTTATGGCAGAGGAGGGCTAACTGTGTGTTCATAGAAGCAGGTACCCTGGGTTAGTCCATGCTTGCATGGGTTTCTTCCCAGTAAGACCACCCCAGCCTCCTTCCCTGTCCTTATTTTGGAAATTTTATAGCAGGGCAAGGTAGGCACAGCAAGGGGAGAAACAAATGGCAAAACATAATGCCTCTAGATGCAGGTCCCAATTCCCTCCCGGTGCTGAGTGCATTGTTCCAGCTTTCACAAAAACACCACTAAAACCCGCGCCGCACGGTACTTTGGGCCAAGCCTATTTGTTCCTTTAAAAACGCCTCTCCAGGGAGACAAGAGGAAGGGACATCGCTGGCGGTCGTGCTTCCCCGCTGACCCACATACCGCAGGCGGGAGGGATCAAGGGCCAGGAGGTGAGCTCAGATCCGGCGCTGGAGGAAGTGTCTTCCCTCACTTCCCGCGGCTTCTCCCACTCAGACGGGGCGGCCGCTGAGGGACAGGGACAGGGGATGGGGATAGGAGCAGGGAATGGGGATGGGTACATGAATGGAGATGAGGATGTGCTGCAGAGGGTGTCCTTCCCCAGATGCTTGAAATTTCTTGGAGGATCATCAAAGACCTTCCCAGCCTCCCTGGCTCCTTTTTGGGAGCCCAAACAAGCCGGTGGCCCTGCTGACACAGGCAGCTAAGTGCAGCCCCAAGCATCTGCAGCCAACACACAGCAGCTGTTCTACCCCGCAGAGCTTCTGCGTCATCCCCTTGCTTGCTCAAAGATGAGCCTGAGACACAGCTCCCTGCTAACACCCCGTGCTGAGAGGACTGGAATAAGGCAGGCACACCGTGAGGGCTGAGGAGGCCAGCACAGGGCGTGGGAGGAAGGGACGACAGGACGAGGAGCAGCATAGTAAAGTTGGAGAGTGGCGAAGCTGGAGAGCAGCAAAGCAACACCAAAGGCTCCTCTGGCTGCAAGGGGACACAGCCAGCCCTGTGCATCACGTGCAGCCCAAAGCCAGATCAGCTCATTAAGGGTCTAGCAAGCCCTGCTTGGTACTGTACCCAAAGCTTCTGAACAAAGTCCTCCTTCATCAGCTTGTCCCCACTCCCTCCTTCCATGCACAGCTCACAAACAGTCCAAAGCTGGGAATAAAGGGGATTGCTCAGCCCCACGGCAATGCCTCATGAACGCCGTGTCCTTGTGGTGGTCCTTCGATGTCTTGTGACCACTAAGTGACAGACAGAAGTCTGTGGTCACTGTCTCATGGCCGTGCTAAGTAGGGATGGAGGCAGACCGTGGTTTGATTCAACAAGAAGTGATGCAGAGAGTTTGCATGAGGTCTGTGCCTTGGATGTGCACAAAATGCAGCCCGAGACTCACTCTGCACCGTGCTCACCCCGAGCTGTGATGCTGGAGAGGCTGTCACCCCCACAGCAGCACCACGCGCCCGTCCCTGTGACGATCCTCAGAAGCTGTAGGCAGCACATGCAGTACAGATGGGCAGCACCGTTTGCCCAGGCAGGCCGGGAAGGATTTTCTCCTCTGCATTTCCTCCTGGCTTACAATTTCTGTGAGATGATTCACCCACTGCTGCCATCAGACATCACCCCACGCCTCCCCAGCCCCAGCCCCTTCTGCTCGGCGCTGCTGTGGAACCCAGAGCGGTTCCATTTTAACACACACATGCCCTCCTCCTGCATGCGGAGCCAATCTGTGATTCGCCTTTCATGTGTGCGATGTTGATTCCTGGTAGGGTTTATCTTGGCACAAACACCCGCTCTGAAATGTGCACGCATTTTGAGACTCAAACCCTGCCTTTCGTTCTCTATCTGCTCATTAATCCTCATTGTTCCTAAGCCCCTTTTCAAAACACACCCGAGGGGAGAAGAAGGTTCCTTTTTATTGCTGAAAAAAGCTTTCCAGCACCAGAAATACCAGCAGCAAATGCAGCTGTGCTCACACACATGCACTGTGCCAGGGCCAATACAACCCCACCGGGTGCCCAGTGCCAGGACCCTTTCCTCCAGCTTTACACATCTTTGTTTTCTTACATAATTTTCTTCCTGGCTCTGACACCCCTCAGATGTCCCCCAAATCAACACATTGCAGCGAACTGAGTCCCTGGGTTTATTTTGCATCTAGTGAGTAGGAAAAGCATGGTCTAAAGGCAGAATTAGGGTTAAGGTTAGGGTCAGGCTTAGGGTTAGGGTCAGGGTTAGGGTCGGGTTTAGGGTTAGAGTCTGGGTTAGGGTCAGAATTCAGGTCAGAGTCAGGATTGGGATTAGGGTTAGGATAAGGGACAGGGTTCATGTTCAGGTCAGGATTCTCAGCTCTCCCCAGCTGACTGCACTCTCTGGCAGCTTGAAGCTCCCTCCAGGCCCATGCCACCTCACCATGTGTTTTTGGGGAAAAGGTCTGTGTTTCTGAGTTCAGGCAGATCCCAGAGCCAGCGGCAATGATTAACTTGGCCGGATGGCACAGGTCAGCCGTGGCCCCAGACACTGGCTGCTGCACGTTCGAAATAGTGAGTCTTTGGAAAAACCATGACCTGACCAAACTTCATGGGGCTTTGGCTGTGATTAACCTCCTCCCACCCATGTCTGGACCCGTCAGCTGGGAGACTGCAGCCTTCCATCATCCTCTGACCCAAAGATGTGTCCTCATTCCAGAACCCACCTTGGCCACTAGGAGCTGAGAGCCTGGGACTAGTGCCTGCCTC